TTTTCAAATTGCTGTATGGTCCATATGCTTTATTGGCCGCAGAAAATAGTACGCTTTTTAATAATAATGAAATATTGTTGGAAAAATCACTTCTTGGAAAATCCTAAGATAGGTAATACGCGTCGCTGAACGCGGTCGTCAATGAAAGGAATCTTCCGCGGAAAAAGCTCCGCCTCCATTACCACAGAAAAACGATACCCCTTAGGCCCCTAGCCTCATGAGCATAGCAAAAAGAACGGAACATAAGCGTTAGTTTCGATAATACTAATCCTACACACAAGACAAAATGATCACTCTTTCCGTGGAAGATTCCTTTAAGGTATCGTTTTCTGTGGTAATGAGGGCGGAGCTTTTTCCGTGGAAGATTCCTTTAAATGAGGGAGGAGCGTAGTACGCGTTTATCTGAATTAGTCGCCGCGTCCTAATCCACGTTGCGTTTCATGGGGTGTGCGCGAGCTATCTCATCCAATAGATTTTAGCCGTTATTAGCTCGCTTTCTAAGGCCCTAGCGCCATTGTCGCGCACAAGCACCCTGATCAAAATCTCAGTCAGTACATGTCTTTATCATTTCGAGTTTACGTCCTATAAACTCAGGATCCTCGGCACGAAAACTGGCACCGACTCCATATTGATGTGTTTCTAAACCCGAACTTCGATGATGTGCATGAAGTCTTTACCAATGGACGAGGCAGTTGGATTCGTGTAGGCGATCCAGTGTACATGTGGACTCGGTGAGGATTTCGATCACATATTTCCAACAAGCATGAATGTTGCGGTGGCATCAGCTTCTTAATTTGATAGGGATCAAGCGATAGAGCTGAGGTCGAAGCTACGTATGGATCTTACCATATTTTGCGATTCTCTCAAGTCCGCAGGTCACGCGCTGGATGATCCTGTCGAGTATGTTCTTCAAAGTATTATACGTGCCTCAATGCTTATAGAAGACTCAGGTTTCGAAAAGTTGTACCATGTAAAGGGAACGTCGCTTCATTCACCCCGAATCAGGGCGATGGCTTTATCGAGGCGAGCGGCTACCTCGTTATGCGCGTCACTTACCTGCACCGGGACATGAAGTGTTAATTCACAACACGACTAGGGTAAGTCTTATTTACTACCCGTTTTTATTCTAGTGATTTTGAGTTGTTCTTGTTGAACTCGGATTTTCCTCGTAGGTTCTTGTTTTCCCTTCTCACATGATGCACTTGGTTGCATCATGTCGAGAGAGATGGTCACATGCCTAGTCGGAAGCAGGAGAAGATTCTACAAATCCTTAATTAGTGTAGAGTCGGTAGTAGTTATTGGAAGTGTGGTGTAATCCTCTAGCAGCAGCTTATGGATTTGGATACACGTACAAGGAAGTCTGCTAATCCTCTTAGTTCTAAACTGTAAACATCTAAATTCGACTCTCCTTTCTGAGGATGAGATAACTAGGGCACTGAAACCGCAATTCGGAATGAATTGCATGAATTTCTTACTTTGCATCGTAGAACCAGAATAGCTGCAAGCTCGTTAGGTTTATGTTCAGGAATGAAGGTGTGGTTACCTTCTGCACGACTTACTGCTTATAGAATTTCTGGGTAATCTGAAGGATATGAGAGCGTGCTACACTTCACATGCGCAACATTGTTGAGCATAAGCAGAGCAACTTCCTGAGGGGGGGATTACTAGGAGACCTTTTGTTCAGTGTGTTAGACACTTATAATTGATCATATTGTCAATAAAGGATAAAAAGGATAAAGCATTTGCCGTTGATCAATCCCTTTTGGGATGCGGCACGCATTCTACTTCCATTTGTACATTCGTAGTGGCGTTTGAATGCGATGTGGCCTATACAATGACTTGCGGGGGCCAGCCGATGTTCAAGTCAGTGTTTTTATCCTCCCAGACAAGTCTGGTACCAATTAACCGACCCCGGAGGGATGGAAGGCTTGGTTGGCCCGGGCGACTCACGACCCTCGCAGCCCCTCGCCCCTCATCGACAGGATTTGACATCCGACGCGCTCGCTGTGAGCGCGCCACTTGTTCGTACTGCACCACTTTGCCGCCCTCACTTCTACAATACCCACCACAATCTTTCCGTCCACCCCTCTAAACACATAGGTTGGACCAGTAAGTATCAATTCAAAAAAAAACGAAATTGCGACACCTTGTTGTTCTCGCAGCCCGCACCCTTATCGACCTTCTTGCATCAACATATCAGTTTTTATCAGCTTAGCTGTTTTTTTCTCCACTCTATATCATGATTGGGAGGATCTCATTGCGCTCTTAATTCCGTTCCTGTACCCGCGCGACCTTAATTTCCGGTCAAACATGATACAACGAACAGTTGACCACACACCGTACACACACAATCAACCAGACGTGCTAACCGGAGTTATATAATAATCGGACTAGGATCATTACCTCCTATCATTCTCAGGAATTCGTTGTAGTTGCCCGTGTGAGTCTAGCTTACCTTTCTGCGTGAAGGCTTATCAGATATAGCTTTTCTTCAATCGAGTTAATTCATTGTTTTAGCGCCTGCTGGATTTCGTCGACCTTTCCGATGGCAGCAAGTGGTTCATGATTACATGGAATACTATGCTGATCACTATGGGCAAAGCACGGTGTGATGAAGCCGGCCCGTACTGGCTAAATTTGAGTGTTCTTATTGTTTTTGAAACATCGTTGGGCGTTCATGTTGTTAGGGGGTGGATACAAGTATACAAGTGAAGAAGCCACTTACAGTTTTGGGACTGAACCTTAGGAAGAGTGAGCTCCCTGGCGCTTCTCGTCTGCTTTGTTAGTTCTAGTGTCGCCTCATCTCGGTTTTCGAATGCCTTTTTTCGAATGTCCTCCCCCCCCAAGGTTGTGAGCGCCCGTCGTTATTTTGAGCCTTACTATTTGCTTTTCAAAATATCAATCCCGAGTGTATTGTAAACATTTTAGAGGCTATTCTTGGAGCTTCATATGGATACCATGGTTCGTTACAGGCAACGAAGCCACTTCATTTATCAGCTTGAATACACAAACTCAGAGAGGCCGTCCAATTACCGACCTAGAAGATCTTGTACTCAGGTAGTTGCAAAAGTCTTAGAAATTGTTTACGAAGTCGTGATCAGATGATTATATGCGATGATTGGGCCTTTTCTAGGTTGTATCATGCTAGACATGACTACGACCCTTTGCTGGACGATCTTCACCCTCTGAGGGATTGGATATATACTGACCTAAAGCGAGGATATGAGCGATATCGCTGCGGTGGGTTTTTAGCGATGAATTTTCATCAGTTTGCCATGTAGATTTTCTTGCTTTGCTTGTTTTCTCTATAGTAGCGCATTTGTCCTGAGAGACTGAGAGGTGCGGGTTCAGTCCCGCCCGGGGGCGAGGGTTTTATTCTTAATAAAAAACTATTGATTTAAAATACATGTTCTGCTACTGCAAAATGTGTATCGCTTACTGCTCACCACTTAATTCGCTATGGGTTAACATTAATGATCATCATATTCTTTCTAGATCTGGATAAACCACACAAGGATTCCTCTGGTATGCGTAGATCTTTCCCCAAGATGTATCGCACTGATCCAGGCACGATATCCAGTGAACAGCTACACAGGCTATTCATCGAAGTTCTTGAGGCTGGTGTAGTGGTGCCGTTCAATCATCCATTCAGGAAATACCTACTTAATGTTGTGGATGTGAGTGCTCTTCAATATTACTGTATATTTTTTGAAATAGTTTTTCGTTTGAGTAGGCTTGGCCTGCAAGCGTTGTCTTTCGTGTCAAATCTGAAGAAGGAAAAGAACCTGATCGAATGTGCTAGAGCAAGAAAGTGGTATTATCGTAGTCTCTTAGGGCAGCTCACGGGCTTACGGAGGGATGTCAGGCTCCAAAGGTAAAGGGCCATGGCACTTTCGCGGAGAAATGTGCGCTTGTAGTGACCCGTGGTAAGCGCCTCCTTCGTGGAGCGCCCTGCCTCCAGAGGCCAACTCAACCTACGATTGGTGGATGGTTAGGGATTGGTAGCGGAGTTTTCTGCGGTCTTCGTAGGCCTGAAAGAGACTGTGTAGCTTCTATAATAAGCTTTGTGTGTGCGGCCAATATGTATATTGAAATTGTCTGACTAAGTCGCAGCAGGTCAGTCAGTTAATATATTATTTAATATATTAGTTAAGCATGCAAATATATTCATTTGAAGCTTCGTAAAGAAGCTGCACGCCGAAAGCTAGCCAAAGAGGTTCATAAGCTCAAGAAAAACTTTGTCAACTCTTTGGAGACTCTTTTGTAAAAAGTTTTAAGGTCATTCTCGAAAATATCTTAGGGTCTCACATTGATTTTTCTAAGCTTAATTACGTTCTATATTTGGCAGATTTTGGTAACCAGGTAGTCATTCTGAACCCATTTCATTTTTTAAGCTTATTGTCTGAAACACTTTCAGGTCTTGTTTGAAGGACAAATGCCTGCATGCATTACCCGTCTTCGTGATCAGGACGAGTTTTTGAGCTGCCTGATTCGATAGGCAATGCTCACTTCGTAATGTTTCCTTCGCAGTGTTCTACATGCCGGATCTTGCCAGCGTGATTATTTCCAGTTAATTTATCTGTGCACTTTAATTATCGGTGTGTTTGATTTCTTCCTTTTTAGTATTAGTCATCAAGCTTATCTATAAGCTGATACTCTGAAAAAATTTCAATCTGTAGTGAAATTCTGTAAGTATTGCACGCGTATCATGTATAAGCCGTCATTTGCTCTTAGGAGTATACATCTTTCAACACGTGACCTGGGCTATGGATCATCATTAGAGTTTGAGACTACGTAGTAATGTATGAACATGGGATTGGTTTTATGTTCTTTATCATATTATAGGTGTAATTATTCTCGGAAGCTGCTCATTGAGAATGGTTTTTGCCTCTTCAGTACAAAAGTTTTTTTTTGTTTAGTAATTATTAGGTTACACTTATGACAAAAGACTTGCCTTCACAAGGATTCCAAACGTAAGTGTCACTGAGAATTTCTACAGAATTAGTTCCTTGGAACAAACCCTGTGTCGAAAGTTTTTTTAGTGTCATGACGAAAATCATCTATTTTGTCTCCTTAAGGCCGATATCAGACTTTGCGAATCGAGCGAATTCGCTAGCGTCCACGGTCGCGTCGCAGCCAGCGAATCGGCCTCAGATTTGCTGGTACCGCAATAGACCGCGACGCATAGCGCATGCGCTCCATTCGCAAGTTCTGCATAGGCCTAACGGTTTTTTAATGACATAGTGTCACTTTTTCTGCCTACGTTTTATTGTTTCTTTCTTTTACGCGTTATGTTTTTTCCGTCTGTTTTTGTTGTGAGCTGGCTGCACATGAACAATTTTTAAGATGTTTCAAATGTATTCTATCATTGAAAACGATCTTACATATTTATAAGCTGTTCAAGCTTTTCGCACGGGTTTTTTTTATTTATACCGCTTTGACTTTCTTTCATGAATGATTTTTGTGTTTCACTTTTTGAGATGTAATTTTTATTTCAGTACACGCAATTATTCCATTATTTTTGATGATAGCAGGATTTGCCTGTTCTGTGTACAATTTTAGTTGTATTGGTTTTCTTCATGGATGCAATTTATATAATCATATCCACTTCATTCGCCTCTCTTTCTGTGTTGAGTTTTATTGCGAATATGGCGTAGCGCACCTAATCACTAGTAATATATTTATTAATTATGTATTTATTTCTTCATGAGTTTTACTCTTCAGTAATAGTTGTACATCTTTTTGTATTTGCGCACATTTATGGTGTATAGATAATTGCTGCAAAGTAAACCGTACTGTTTTGCTGTTTTTGGTTGACTGGTTAATGCTTATGGAAAAATGGACAACAGGAGAGAGGAAATTTTATTTAAGCGTCTTAGGGGAGTGGGGGGGAGAGATTAGGCGCCAATTAGAGTCAAGCGTACGGCGCTGGAGCAGCTGAAAACTATGAATTTGGAAAGATCTGATAGTTTGGAACTGTTCTTTCTGGAACAAGAAGCAGTTTTTCTGCCAAAATGGAGACAAAGCATTCAAATCAAAAAATTATTTGCTTTCGATCGACTTTTCAATGATTTTTATTTGGCTAAATACCGTATCGTGTGAAAATTGTTTACTTATCGAGAAACTGCACCAGCTGTAGCTTGCACAAGGTCAACACCCAAATGGAATGTTTCGTAGAATTTTGAAATGTTTTCACTTCCGTGAATAAGCCGCTTTTTGTATCATTTTGATTACCACCTCGTCTGCCGAGGTGATCGGATGGATAGTCCACCCGGAGCGTTGAACACTACTTTTTACGAAGGTTTGAGAGCTCCTAGGTTCTTCAAGCGCATTGGTTTGGGCAGGTACACAGAAACATTTTGCATATTGTCCAAAGTCTCGTCGGTTGAATAAGAGCGTTTGAGGCGAAATATCCTTGCTAAATGTTCCTATATAGAGAAGCAAGCCCCTCCCCACTGCCCTCGCCGTCTTTTAATACGAATTCATCCACCATTGCCGTTGAAGCTTCCTATTATTGCTTGAGCTGGAGCTGCTACCTCGCCCATGTAGAGGCCATTATGAAACCATTCAATAGACCCAATAGATGTGCTCTTTGGTTTTCTAGTGGCAAAATATGGTCTTAATAAGCAAACTGCGTGAATCCAGTTTCAATGTGGAAAATTTTCTAGGCCTACTGTAATATCAACGCAATGCGGATTTTAACGATGAAGAAACCAACACGTGAGAAATGAAGGTAATTTGTAGTCAGTGGTGCAGGGATGAAGAAGAAACCGTGAAAAACAGACAGGAACCCAAAAAAAGGGAACCCCTTCTTCGCTCACCGAGTTCCGTATTGATGAGAATCTCAGCGATGCTGCCCTCTTCAATGTTAAGGCTCTCTCTTCTGAGCGGCTAGAGTCAGACGGCGAATTTTGTGTGTACCTCCCCAAGGAGGTCTCCGCGCGGAATTAAAGCAAAGTCTATCGGGACCGAGTCCGCGCCACGTACTACAGGGATTTCGTGTCAATTTAAATAGAGGGTCCCATTGCACGTCCTACATCGCACACCACGTACTGCAACTCATCCGCCGACTCTATCTTCTTGCCGCGCGACGGGCCTCCTGAGGTGTACCCGCGAGTTTTGACCTATCGGTGGGTGCGCAGGCGTGAGCAGATGCGGGGACGGGCCATGCTCCGGAGAACAGCTGTGGTTATTTTCTGAAGCACGCAAAGCTGAAACATTAGCCATGTGGAAATTCCTAGTATCACTACACCTTACGGCATAATGTTGAGATAAAATTTCAATTTTGATCGGCGGCTCATCGGTCATAATCTGTTGATCCCGTAACAGCGGTTGACAAAAACCGCGATGTAACAAAAGATAATCAGTTTGCGGATCAGATCGGGCCTAGGCAGGATTATTTCCTTTTGCCTCTGCTTTAGCCACCGAGAGAACATTATTTGGCTAACGTTTCGGCGCAATCGCCTTCTTCGGAGCCTTATTAGAAGCCGAGCGTTAGAAGGCAGCCTTTCTTCCCTTGATTCCTTCCTCTCTGCAAGGTCGAGTGTCCGCAATGATAAGTGCGATAACGTGTCCTCCCAACTGCAGACGTCAATTTGATGACAAGCAGATCACGTGCTGTTGCGAAATGTATCAATCAAGAGAACAGGTCGGTTCAACCGCCTTTCGACTTTGGTAGGTGGGTCATTTATTGGAGCGGCTTCACATCTTATCCGAATCAATTACAGGTTCAAGATATACTCCAACAAGTAAGCGCCCTATTCTCCCTATCGGCTTCACATTGTCACAAGAACCCCACGGAAAGGCAGCCCATAAAGGATCGAGGGTAAACAGTAAGCAATGGTGTTTCACCTATTGCGCCCAAAAAACGCTACCGAGCTCAAGCGCTACTTAGATTCCAGCTCATCATTGCTTTTTTCGACACATTGAGTGACTCCATGTCAAACTCTGCGTTCTGCGGTCCTTCCTGTCTCGAAGCAAAGGCTGGGATCAGACTGTTGTATTATTACGCTTGTAGGTGACAGTGGAGATGTGCAGTTTAACTTAAGCAGTGAAAAAGAAAAGAAACAACCGCCAAAGACGAAAACAAGTTCCTCTTTCTAGTAGCAGTTTTCCAGTCTAGAGTTAGCATTGATTTGTGGGTGGAGTCAATGGTGTTGGGCGGAGCCAATGCTGTACTCTAAGCCCTTAGCGCTTCAGCATAGTAAAGTCATCCAGACATTTACGGGACATGCTCTCCGCTTGCGTGCCACTGCATTTTCCTCGGGAAAGGTCAATTTTCGGTCAAAAATCCCAGACCCTGCCTTCAATCTACGCCTAAGGTTCTTGGACTCCGCGCTGACAGGACAAGCCTGCGGTCAGCCTTGTACTACGCACTTTGAAGAGGACGACACCTAAAGCTACCCATTACGCACAAGTTCATAGGGAATTCCAGAGTTCCGAATTCTTTCATCGATCGAAGAGCATAAACGCTGCCGTTTTCCACCAAGGAATCGAAAATCAGGTGGGCCGGACACGTTATGCGATTTTGTTGCGT